AGGAAGGAAGGAAGGAAGGAAGGAAGACAGGAAGGAAGGAAGACAGGAAGGAAGGAAGGAAGGAAGGAAGGAAGGAAGGAAGGAAGGAAGGAAGGAAGGAAGTCATACTATAAATCTATACTATAGATCCAAACTATACTATACTATAAATCCAAACTTGCAAACCAAATTTATAAAAAAAAAAATACAAATGCACCTCTCTAGATAATTTACTCCAGTCACTAAATTTCTGATTTTTTTTAAAAAATTGTACATCTTTTATAAACAGCAAGCAAGAAACAACAGAAAGCTCTTCCAGGCTCTGCCCAGACTTTATCTGGACCAAAGGACTCACCAAAGTCTTCACGGGAACCATGGGGAGGGACTGGAGTGACCATATCTGGACTATGGAGGGGCTGGAACCTTATCTGTACATCCTGAAGGGCCCTGAAACATTTAGGTAAATGACTTCAGTTTACACACTTTGCCTGGCTCCATTGAGGCACTCATTCCACTTCAATCTGCATTGTGCAAAGCTAGCGATGCCCTCACATCAGTACCTCAACTTTCATTCCAGATAGCATGGAGGACATAAAAAATGAGAGGGAAGAGAGAAACACTGAAAATAACTTACTTGGTGTGGACACAGAAGAGTTTGATCAGCACCCCTGCGGCCGATCCTGTAGTACCTGAACCTTGAGCGCCTTCTGAAAAAAAGGAAGAAGCCGAGGGAAGGAAATGAATCGCTCCATCTTATCACCACTAAAGCCAGCCAAAGCCGCAAAAGAACAAGAGAAATCTCCCAGACATTTAATTCAAACAGAAGCAGTTTAGGAGCCTTTTTGGCTCAATTTAAAGAGCCATGCAAGCCTTTGCTTTGCCCCCAACAGGCTGGGTCCTCATTTTACCCACCTCGGAAGGATGGAAGGCTGAGTCAACCTTGAGCCAGTGAGATTCGAACTACCAAATTGCAGGCAACCGGCAGTCAGCAGAAGTAGCCTGCAGTACTGCACTCTAACCACTGCGCCACAGCGGCTCTTAGTAATTGTTAAAGAGCTTTCCTTGAGTTTTAGGGTGGTGGTGGTGAGTTCCTCTTGTTTTACAAAGATAAAAACTTCCTTTAGTAAGCTGGAAAGCTGGGAATGAGACAATGGCTGGGCTCAGATATCGTGCCAAGTTGTATCTTCTGCTAACTACCGTTTGAAATATGATGGTTTAGGTTCTATACATACAGGCACAAGACAGTCTAGTCTCTCTCTCTCTCTGCCTCTCTCTCTCTCTCTCTCTCATGCAAACACAATGATGAAATCATGGTTTATCAACCCACAAATTACTTTAAAAGAAAAAGACAATGGAAGCAGAGGAACACGACAGAAATAAATCAAATGACACACGGTCTGAAGGAACTCGGGAGTGGCGATGTCCTTTTCTCCTCTACCAAAATGCCAAAGCATCATTTAAGATGATCCGAACGTTAACAGGCGAGGAATTTAAGGACTAAAAAAAGTCCATTTAGCTCCACACTGTGAAGATTTTGCTGCTGGAAATGGGTAATCTAAAAAAGGGTGATTTTTTTTCAAACTGATGGAGGTTAGTGATGGTCTACCAAGACGAGGCAAGAAAATCAGTGCCTGGAGAACCCGTGGAGAAGGTGAGCATCTACTTGGAGTCTGGTTGGCCAACGTGCCGGTGGACAATTGAATGAGGCAGGCCTTTGTTTTTTGTTCCTGCCCTACTCTTGTTCTGTGTCCAGAAATGATGTTTCCTGGGCTTCTTCATCTCAGGGAAGAGGCACCCATCGCTGACTTACCAGCACTGATGCCATCACTCTCCTCTTCTGCTGAGAGGACTTCTGTGTGCCTCAGTCGGCAGCGGCTGACCATTTGGATGCCGAAGCTCAGGACTGGGTGAGTCAACAGGAACTCTGAGATGGAGCTGAAGTAAGCTTTGCCCTCTTCTTGGTTCTGGACAAGCTCCATCACGTATAAGACCTGCGAAAGATAATCCGTCGCATCAGAGGCTGCAAGAGGAGGCGCTGTCTCACCTTGGCTCAGGAAGCAGGTAAAGCCCAGCAGAGCAGGAGAAAAGCTGATTGTTCTCCTCAGTCCAGTTAGGTAGCAACAGCAGTAGAAACAGCACTTAAGACTTACACACCGCTTCACAGTCCTTTACAGGCCTCTCTAAGCGGTTTACAGAGTCAGCCTCTCTTGCCCCCCAACGATCTCATTTTACCAACCTCGAAAAGATGGAAGGCAGAGTCAACCTTGAGCCAGTCAGGATTGAACTGCTGGCAATCGGCAGTTAGCCTGCAAAGACTGCATTCTAACTGCTGCTCATCATGAATGGTTGGATGGATGGAAAGGCAACAGCATTAGCACCAGACTTCTATACCGCTTCACAGTGCTTTACAGCCCTCTATAAGCGATTTAGAGAGTAGCCTCTTTTCCCCAACAATCTGGGTCCTCATTTTACCCACCTCGGAAGGATGGAAGGCCGAGTCAACCTTGAGCGCCCCCATCAGGATAGAACTGCAGACTGCGGGCAGTTTGCCTGCAATACTGCCCTTTAATTACTGGGCCACCAGAGTATGTAAACCACTGGGACATCAGGCAGGCAATTAAACCAAATTAGCATAAAAAGTATGCCTTTTACCAGTGAGTCGCGTTAACTCTTGGGAATAAATCCAGATGTCCTTCCTTCCTTCCTTCCTTCCTTCCTCCCTCATATGGCATCTACAGAGGTCATGCAACCACTGATATACAAATTTAGTTTCAATAGATCATCAGCAAATAGAAGTCTTTGTATCCCACAGCCATCTGTTCTGCAGGACAGCGAGATGAGTGGCAAATAAATTTAATAATAAATAACATAAAATTTGAACGCCTACCTTTCTTTCCACATCACTCAAAACTAGGTACTCGGCTGACAGATCCAGGCAGACCTTCAGACTGGGAGGGACGCTCACAGAGCTAAATATATCTGGAGAAAACCTGAAATTGACAGCAGGCAAGAGTAGTCACGACACACTTGTGAACTGACTCATTTCTCTTCTTTTTCTCGGAGATCTGGTTCCTCATCCCGTCCCCCCCCCAAATAAAGGAATGTCAGTGACAGGAACACTTACTGGATTGTCTGGAGGCAGGTCCATGAGACGGTGCACCACATTTTCAGCTCTTGATTCTGATCTGCTCCAGTGATGAGAAACCTCCAAAAAGGAACCCTGAATAAATGAATGGATGAGAAGAAAAACGGACTCAGCCCACAAAAAGGCTGCTGTTAAGAAAATGCGCCTTGCAACAGGGAAAATAGAAAACCTCCTCCAGCCCTAGTAAATTAATACTGTCGATCATAACTTTAGCAAGGTTTGGAGTAAAGCTTGGGAAGATAAAGATATTTCCTGCAAGTGGAAATCTCAGATATTCCAGGAAGTTTTGCTGATTACAAAGAGAAAGAGATCTCTTCCGTCAAGTATCCACCTAAACACACAGCTTTGACAGGACACATTACAGCAGAGAGACAATACTGCTCTGCCACAACACACTTTTGAGGGTCCATGCTCTATTTTTCTGCAGCCCAACCTCACAACTGCAGGGCTTTTCTTAAGAATGCAATGTGAGGGACGGCAGCTATGTGTGTGTGTGGGCAACTATTTTCTTCCCACTGGCAAAGGGTCCCTTACCCCCTTCGTATAGACCAGGATCACCACTTACTCTGGGTCTTGTTTCTTATGGTTGTCACAGAAGAGCAAACAGGAAAGAGGCCTGCCCTCATGAGGTTTCCATTCATGGAGGCACCGACTGAAGAAATAAAACCAACCATGGTTATATTCACACATCATTCCAAGCCAGAGTTGAGTTTTAGACATGCTGTCAGCCTTCAAGAATCTTTTCTTCTGCTTGTCTTTCCGGCTGCCATAGTAACGGGGGGGGGGGGGGGGGATCAACTGGGCTTTGGGGGTGGGGGAGGGGAAGTGTGCTGGAGGCTTTAGAGAATGAACTGTAAAACTTGGGGAAAAATTTATTGTCTTATGCTTACTTGCTTACTGCATAGTTGCAGCATTTTATCTAACCAGGCCAAGGTCAACGGCCAGATGTATGCATCACCACTTGAAGAGGCCCCATATGACATTATACGCATCTCAGATTGGATGGACTATTGTGGGTGGGAACGTTGCCATACTCTGTATATGTGATTTTCACGTCTTGATTTTCACGTCTAATATCTCAGATCTTGAATTCTTTTGATGCTACCACTTGATTTCTAGTAAGTCCTTTTCTCTATTAACAATGGGATCTAATGGTCTCTTTCTTGGATTCTGAATGGAGCTCAGCCTGACACATGCATTTCTGAAGAAGATCTAATGGCGATGTTCACTTTACCCGTTAAGATGTGTAATCTGTGGCTAGGTCCACATGAAGGGAATTCCATACAAGCCACTTCTTGATTTGGTGTGATATGACAATGTAGAGGGTGATTGACAAATCAACTTTTTAATAGTTCTAACGATTAAAATATGTTTCTACAACTCAGGGAAAGTTTTAGATACACGTCATCTTTCTCTGTGAGGAGAAACATTGACGCTCTCTGAGCTTGGTTGTTTTCTTGCAGATGTTTCATTACCCAAACTAAGTAACATCATCAGTGCTAGTAAGGAATGAAGTTTGCTCTTACTAGCACTGATGATGTTACCTAGTTTGGGTAATGAAACATCTGCAAGAAAACAACCAAGCTCAGAGAGCCCCAAGGACCCCTCATTTCAACCCTGAGCTATAAACATTCTGTCGTGCCCGTTGGAGTCTGACTCCAAGGGAGAGGAGGAACAGCTGACAGGGAGTGGGAGTGTGGCTCCGGAGGTGGTGGAGGAAACTGAGGAAGGGCACAGGCCGGCTGGGCAGTCAGAGGAAGACCCAGGCCCATCCCCTCTTCATCCTAGGGCACGCAAGGAGAGGATAAGGGAGAAACGTGAATGGCGTGGTCTACGGGGGAGGAAGAGGCCCTGATCCCCTTCATGGGCTGCAGCTGTGAGGACTGTTTAAAAGGACAAACTGCGCATGGCCCAGTGCTGGAAGCAAAGCGTGAAATAATTCTAGTCTTTCAGTTCTTATCTGAGTCTGGCGTCCTTCCCAGTGTGTGTATTTCGATATCTGTGGACGTCTTCAAGCCCTTCTCCTGCCTTGTCTCACTAATTGCTTCAGTGTGGTTTGTGTTGTTTTTTCTACTTATAATTTATATGTATTTTGAGTCTGAACAGACTTTCTTCCTTTTCACAACTGTTTGTGGGGGAGTTTTTCTCCAGTCAATGATAATTGGAGCTTTGAAGCCAAGTTGAAGGAATTAAAGGGACTTCACCTGTTTTTGTGACTTTGTTGCTTTTGTATCCCACCCTGGGTCATCACATGTTCTCTTTTACTGATAGTTCTCTGCATCTGAAATTACCTTGGTTCATCTTGTCCCTCTATGTAAATCTGCCAGAATTTGACGTAGCCATCATGGCTTGCTGTAGCCAAAACAGTCCCATCAGGAGAAAGTGCTCCCTCACTCAGGCGCTATAAAAGAACAGGGGGTAAAAATATAGCCGTTATTTATATTTTGCAGCACAGCTGAAATACAATAACAGACATCTTTCTGCTAATGTGGCTGGCCATGGGCCAAGGCTATTTTTTTAATAGCCTCTCTTCTGATGACATTTGGTAGGCCTATTTGTTCATAAAAACCAGACATCCTGGCTGAAGAAGTCATAATGTTCCTACTGGTGGCATGCTGGTTGTATGGACAAGCAGTTACACAAATTGGGAGGTGGAAAACATCATATGAGATCAAGATCCAGAATTACAGTGTAGATCCAAAGGAGTCAGGATCAAAAGCTAAAAAAAAACCTGATTTGAAACAGATAATGTGAGGACATTGATCCTGGATTATGGAAGACGCTTCTGCAAAATCCTGAGTTTAGATTTAATCTAAACTGTTCGTTGCTTTTTGCCCCAATCACAACTCATTCACATCCCAGCGTATTACATGCAAACACCAGAAATAACTGCAAAAGAATATCTTGCTTTTAGTGTAATCAGCCATTGGAATGAAGGCCAAAAGGAATACTTGAGGTTCATGAATGAAAACACACAGAACAGAGGGTTATGTTCTGACCCAGGCTTCGTAAACCGTGATTATGCACAAACTTATTTTAAAAACAAAACCTATTCTATTGCAATGCTGGGAATTGTTTTCATTCCTAGCCGGAATTAATCTCAAATAGTCCCCCAAGATAAGCACCCACCTTTCAGTTCTGCGAAGTGCTGCCAAAAACAGAAGTATCAAATGAACAAGAAAAAAAACCAACCGAAGTACAAAGAGCTTCAAGGATGACTCTGAACCGATTGAACTACTTTGCTTCCTGCAAAGGTTTCATCATCTTGGCCTGACTTTTATACCTTATGGGAGGGGCAATCACCTCCAAGCCTTACTTCCGATTCGCCCCTTTTGTTTCAGCTGCTCTCGCCTTCTAGCAGCTCTGCGCAAATGCGCCCTGGGAACAGGCTCCCCTGGGTCCTCTGCCTTGCTGCTGCCAGACTCCGAAGGCTCCAGAGGCAGCACCCCACTCCCAGATGGTCCTGGCCCCATCTCTGCATCGAATGCAGGACCAAGTCCTCTCTAGACTCCCTGACTGGTCCCCGTTCTTCCCCACTGTCTGACTCCGTTGCTGTCTGCATCGGCTGCCGTCGAACCACAGGTTATAGAAACTAGCATAGGCCCCTACACCAAGACAAAGGCTGAATGTTTACCGTGCTATGACCCTTCACCACAATGTAGCCTTCTTTGATGTTGGTTACTTCCACTGGCCATGAACTATGGTTGGCTCGGATTATGTCAAGGTCACAGACTTCAGCCTGCCAACACAAAGGGAAAAAGTGAGCACAAAGACCATGCTAAAGCTCCATCAGGAATCATCCCAACAGGTTGATGTCTACGGAGATTCTCAGTCATCCACACCCTGGTTGTCCCAAAGGTGTTTTTTCAAAAGGCAAGTGGACGTTCTTGGTTTGTTTTTCCGCCTGAAGACGTTTCACTCTTCACTCAAGGAGCTTCTTCAATTCTGACTGAATGGTGGAGAATAAATCCTACCTATCTCAGGTATCCTTGACTTACAGCCATTCCTTTAGTGACCATTCAAAATTACAAAGGCACTGAAAAAAGTGACTTATGACCGTTTTTCACACTTATGATTATTCCCATGGTCACGTGATTTACATTCAGATGCTTAACTTTTTGTTAGTTTTTGTTGTTTTTTTTAAATTTTTTCATTTTAAATATGATTTATACATTGAGTGAGCCGCCTCGAGTCGCCATGGGCGAATAGGTAGCAATATAAATTAAATAAATAAAAATAAATAAGTAAATAAAATGACTCAATAGTTATGACGGTTGCAGTGTCCTGGAATCATGGGATCCCCTTTTGCGACCTTCTGACAAGTGGAGTCAATAAGGAAGCCGGATCCACTTAACAACCGCATTCATAATTTAACAACTGTAGTGATTCACTCAACAACGGTGGCAAAGAAAGGTTATAAAATGTGGCAAAACATACTTAACCATTTAACAACAGAAATTTTGGGCTCCATAATTAGACATAAGCCGAGGACTACCTGTATTCCCATCATTGCTTTTTTAAAAAAATCAACTTTGCGCAGAGAGGCCAAAATAGCACCATTTCCAAGGGAAAGAAGGGAAGCCACAGAAATGCTTACTCTGTCTTCATGCAGCAACGCCAGAGTCTGGCTGCCTTCTTCGCAGCTCTCCTCATTCTCATCAGGGATGAAGGGACACCATATTATCCTCCGAAAGTTGTTATGGGGAGTCCCATCAGATCGTTTGATATTCACCAAGATCTCTTCTCTGATCACCGAAGTTAAGGAAGACCTCCATCATTCATACCAGTGGTGGGATTCAACCTTTTTTACTACCGGTTCTATGGTCATGGCTTGGTGGGCGTGGCAGGGGAAGGATACTGCAAAATCCCCATTCCCTCCCCACCATACTAACCTGCTTTCCAGCTCCATTCTCCTATGCAGGGCAACCAAAGAAGACCCAGCTGATCAGCTGGGACTCAATGGGAGGCAGAGAATAGATGGGGGTGGGGCCAGTCAGAGGTGGTATTGGCTGGTTCTCCGAAACTGGCCAGGACCTACTGAATACCACCTCTGATTCATACCCTTTACAAAAGCCTCCCAGAAGTTCAATTTTAATGGTTTTCTGGTCTATCTCAGATGTGTTGGAAATAAATACATGACTGAATTAGAGTTTGTGCAACACCTCGTCCTCACCTTTTAGGTAAAAACCTAATTCCACTTTAAATAGTTCCTACAAACATTACACTGTGGTTGACCTAGCAGATTAATAAACCACAAAATCATTAGTTTAATGCATTGTGTGAATCTAGTCATTGTGGTTTATAAACCATAGTTCATTCCTTAGAGGTATGTGTGAATTAGGCCACTAAGGACCGTGCAATACTGTATTTAAAACGAACAAAAGTTTATGTGAACAACCAGTGCATAAAGTTTTCATCACTGCTTTGTAGACTGGGCAGGAAAGCTTTTTTTTAAAAAAAAAAAAAATCAATAATTGTCATTACAGCAAAACTGAATTTTCCTTTTATAGCATTCAGTATTTATATTTCTCAGTTTGATAAATGCATTATCTTCGTTGTTAGCTAGTTTCGATGAAGTGAAGATTATAGATGTGTAAAAGTCACAAACAGAACAGTTAATATTGAGAAAAAATTCTTAACGTGAAGACTAGAATGCAAGACTCTAACCCTAACTTAATCAAGATTTCTGATTTTGCATGCTGAAATCCAAAAGTTCAATGCCCAGTTCTGGCTTACAGAATTAAGTAACATAATAACGCATTATTGTGGGGTTTTTTTTGAATTAAGTAACATAATAATGCATTATTGTAGGTTTTTTTTTTTTTTAAAAAAAAACCAAATTGGTGTAATAGTCTGGCTTTGCAAATTGTACCACAGACTAACTAGTTTATCTACCAATATTCTGACCCTCGGCCATCATGCTTAGCATGGAAGTAAGATACTGGATTTTTCCGTTCTCCATTGACAGACACCAGACAAACAGGTTGCCAGCTTCATCCAGGCAGGCCAACTGGTTGGAGTTGAGGTGAGCAAAGGCCAGATCTGCCACACCCTCAGTGAAGCCTTTCAGAAGCGTCCGCTCAGCCGTGCTGACACTCAGGACTCGCACCATGGCCGAGCCACTGCTGGCACCTGGGAAAAGAAGGGCAAGACGCACCTAGTCAAACCTCTTTCTATAGTGGAGATGGAACAAGGTCCAGCACAGGCCACTGGACAAAAATTAAGATGCAAAAGAAGCCCAACCTATAACGTCAGAAAGGACCCTGGGAGGATGGGAGATGTCTCACCTCGAATAGCATAAGCCAGATAGGCATTTGAGACAGCAATGAGGTTGCCATAGTAATACTTCTGCTCCCAGTCATATCTGGCCACTGGCTGGATTTTTACCTGGCGGGAGGAAAAGAAAACGAACAAAAGTTGTAGCAAAGGAATCAATTCAATACCGATCAAAAGGAATACCACACCTAATAAAGAAGACTATCTATGGCAGCGATAGGCAACTATGCCCCTTTATGACCTGTGGACTTCAACTCCCAGAATTCCTGAGCCAGCGTGGAACTGGGAAGTCCACAGGATGTGAAGGGATCATTGTTGCCTACCCCGATTTATGGATGCTCTATGATAGAAAGCTGTGACGGTGAGAAGGAGGTGGCCACTGTCTAATCTGTAGAAGAAGGAAATCTCACAGCAATGTGAAAAAGAAACAAATCAGCAAACAAGCAGGTTCATCTTTGTCCAACCATTACTTTTGAATATTTTAAAATGTTTCTCAGCAACAAAGAGGAATCAGGAATGATATGAAGACGGAAAGAATACGGTCTACCGTTGCATATAGAGATTATCAGGCAACAAATTAACAAACCTTTTTTTCCCCTTAACAAGACATAATTAGCTGGCAACTCTTGAAATTACAACTGCACGCAGACAGATTGCCAAGGTAGTTTGTAATAGAACTGATCAATTTTAAGGGACTTTGTTAGAACAGACTGACTGATTGGCAGAAATATACATGAAGGCATACTTAGAGTGACATCATTGAGTATTGCAAAAGATGTTAACATTCTTTTGGGTTCTCCTACTTGTTTGTTCACAGATATTTCTGAGGGGAGAAAGGCCTGAGATGTGTGGACTGAAAATGGAAAGGGAGCGAGCGAAAGAACTGTAGATCTTCCCTGCATTAACTAAAGGGTCTTCCAATAAATCCACTTCTCTTGGATCACAACCAGTCGACATATCAAGGCCATATTCTCAAGCACAATGTCTGAACATGTACCCAATATAACATCTACATTTGCCAATGGTCAGTTCTTTAAACATATTTTACATATATTTTTCTCTTTTACTACCAGGATAGGTATGAGCTTGTCATCAGCAGGTGAGAAGGAAGAGAGTTATGACCTAATAAGAAGGTAAGTTTTCTTGTATTTACCTTATTGCTTCCCCTGGCTTTACTGGTGATGCTGGAATCACTGCTGGCCACTATTTCAACATCTTTAGCAAGGATCACCATACAGGTGGAATTATCATCTCCAGAGAGGCAGCTAAAAAAGTAGCCAGGGGCAAGCAGTGAAGAGAAAAAGAGGTCAGTCTCCAGGATATTAAAGGTAACTTTTTCTGTGAAATGTTCAAAGAATCAGGACCATGCTCACCGTATACATAGACTCAAGGACTGTAGAATTCCCAACAATGTATTTTATAGATCCAGACTGAATACAAATGTTGCCCATTCATGAGCCAAAGAAGGAAATAAACCAGGAGCAGCAAGAATAATAATAACCCAAAGGACAAAATAAACCAGGAGCAGCAAGCCTCAACTGACAGTGACTGCTCTTTACAACACAGGTTTCTCCTCTGCTGTTCTAAATCAGATTTCCCCAACCTGTCTGGTGCCTCTTCAGACATGCTGGACTTCTACTTTATGGCAGCTGATGTTCATTTGGAGGAAAGCAAGTTGGAAAATGTAGCATTAAACATCGATTGGTGAGGCACTGTACTGATTCAAACCACCCTAGTAGCTACACACCATTTTACCAAGCCTTAATATAAGGAATAACAGAATATAGGGAAATCACATCTCTGCAGGAGAAAACACTTGCTGGGGGTGCTTTTTGATATTCCAGAGACCACAAATTGCACATATTTTGGCCTTTCACTTTTGCCTCACCAGTTAGGATACCTACATAACTTGTTTGTCTTGTAGCGCTCCGAGAGGAACAGTTTGTGGAACAGGCTTAGTGGAGGACGAGCCGTCTCCAGCTGCGGTGGGATCTGGCACCAGAAGACCATTCAGGTCACCATTATATGAACTGGATGTTCTCTGGTTTTCATTCACTGACCCTGAAAGGTATGAAGAACAGGGAAACAGAGAGGGAAACCAAGATTCATATTTACTTAGTCTTGTCATGGAGTTGTATATATTTTAAATTAGCCAACCTTTTACTGAAGTTCTGTGTATTGCCAACTTATAAAACAGTGGCATTTCTAACAGAGCAAGGCCTATTTTAGATCTCCCTATAGCACTTAATTCCATAAGTCTACTTTTGGGAATGGGGAAAGAACTGTCTTTCCATTCTTGCTGATTTTGGGGGGAGAAAGAAACACCATTTATTTGTTATAAATCACCCATAGATTTTAAAGTATATCCCAGGCTACAATCTGCTTGTGGAATATTACACTTCAATTTTAATCTGCAATATTACATCAAACATTTTGTTCATGGCCAAATTATTGGCTCTTTCTAGAATAGCTTTTCCCAACTTAGGCTTTTTCCACATGTATAGACTTCAACTTACAAAAGTTCCATTTAACAATTTTCCCAACTTTTCAAGGGCTTCAAATATCCCTACAACACTTTGAAATGAAGTATATCAAGCTATCTATTCACTTTGTTTATATTTAAAGCAATTTATCTAAAACTCATTTAAAAAAAAATCTTACAATATAAAACCATAGAGGTCCACACAATACAAAGTATCAAAACAATTGCCCAAGTATTATCATATTGCAGTTTTTATAAAGACAGATGCACCTGCTATTTATTATCATTCTACATGTCAAACGGCAAGTAAGGTTTGACAAGAGGGAAAACACATCCTGATAGTTAAAGTCCCCTCATTAAACTGTTCTGTACATTTGCACTCAAAATGTTATGATTTCCATGCTTAGCAGTTTAGAAAATGGCTTCTGTTGTTCTATAACGCTGCTTTAGAGGATTGGATAAACTAAAAAAAAAAAGCTGATCTTAAGGAAAATAGAGCAGAAAATATGGATTATAAGCAAAGAGGTAAACACCCATGTAGGTATATAGCATATCTAGATGATGGGCCATCTGTTAAAATAAAACCAGGTCCTGGCACACACTTCAAAGTAAATCAGGAATCCTGTACTTGTGAAGTCTGCCTGGCAAGAACAAAGAATCCTTATCCACAGAAGATATGCAGACTCTTGTAACAGTCCTGGCTAATTGGAAAGCTGATAAAAGTAATATCAGTTAGCCAACTTGCATACCTCAGCTAAAAGTCACAAATAGAGAATGCCCTGCAGTATATTAGATAATTCCTAGGGATTTCATTAGCCAAGACCTAGGAATAGGGACAGTTAGAGACCAATAGAATAAACTGTAGAATTATTACTAAAATGTTTATTAGATGATATTTCTTATTATCTCACTTTGTCCCATCTTCTCCTTTAGTGAAAATGTATAAAGCTTACTCAATCCTTTGACAATCCTTTGGCATTTTGACCAGGAGCCCTTTTCCTTGGAGTACTCCAATAAAAAGCAACCAGAAAACCTGCACCTGGTGTCTGGCGTCTATCATTGGCTTTGGCACAAGGCTCAGACCCGAACTGGGGACAACAATCATGTGTGTTGTGCATGTGCACACTTTTTTTTTTGAATGTGTGTGTGTGTGTGTGGGAATGACAATAAAGGTTATCTTATCTACCAAAGAAATGTGAACATAGAAGAATACTGCATGCTGTACAGTGCTAGGTATGGAAGATATATATATTGATGCTTTTTAATTCAATGCGTTCTCCTGCCCCCATTTTTTAATCAAAAGCTTAGATGTTTTGCAATTGACCCCACCGGGTTTAGTGGGAATTGTTTCCTCACCAGTTTTGCACAGGAGAGCAACCTTTTTATTCCATTAACCTCTTCGGAGAGGAGACGGACTCCCGGCTCCTTTCAAGAGGATCTGCGCCCAAGCAAAGGCACGGGATGCTACCACCCCGAGTGCAAATCTCTGCCTCCGCCTGCCCGCCAACCGGAGCCCTCCGGACGGGGCAAAGGCGAGGAGGGGAAGGGCAGCCGACTTCCCTGCTGCAGGGCGCCGGATCGGGGAGAAGCTGCTTCTCTCCCCCCTCGCTCTTCCCGGACAGCGCCGCCGCATGAGCGTGGCGCGGGCGGCATTGCCCGGGAGGAAGGAATTCCAAGCCGGGCACTCGCGCTGCCCCTCCAGTCGCGTCCCGAAGCCGAGCGGCTCTTGCCGAAGATTCAGACCCCGCCCCGAAGCTCCGCCACAGGGCCTCCGCCCGAGACCGCCGCCGCCTCTCACCGCCGGGCCGATCCAGCTTGAGGATATCGCGCAGGTGCTGAGTCGCGTCCTCGATATCGATGCTAGCCGAGGCCATCGGGACCCGCCAAGGCCGAAGCCGCCGCCGCTCGCTCACGCCCGCCTGCCTTCCGGACAGGCCGAGCCCGACTCGCCGCCCCCACTTCCGCTTCCGGTCCGTACTTGCCTCCTCTTCCCGCCGGAAACCGCATCCCGGCGCGCGGGGTTCCACCCGGCCTCTTGGTGGACTGTGAAACATTTTCAAGGGGTTGGGTAGAAAAAGGGAGCGAAGGGCGTGGGGGGCGAGGGGCGGCGTCTCTCCTTCACTGGCTCTGCATAGCTGGGCCCTGCAAAGCGAGGAAGTGAGCCGTGCTGAGATTGCAGGGAGGCGTCTAATTTCAAAGACTAGGACGGCAGTCGAAAGCTGCCTCGTCCTCTCTCATTGCGGACATGCCTTTGAGTTGCATCAAATGAAAATATATGCATTTTTCCCGGACAGGAGGATTAAGTGCCCGTGCATATATCTATATACAGCCTCATACAAAAATACGAACACATCCCGCCTTCGCCAGTCACACGTTAGGTTTTCAGAGTCGGTTGAGACTGTCAGTTATACATCGATTACTCAGTAGGTAAGTACGGTGCAGTGATTCTTGAGGGGTCCTTGGTGCTCTCTGAGCTTGGTTTTCTTGCAGAGGTTTCATTGCCCAAATTAGGTAACATCATCAGAGCTAGTAACACTGATGATGTTACCTAGTTTGGGTAATGAAACCGCTGCAAGAAAACAACCAAGCTCAGAGAGCACCAAGGAACCCTCGTTTCAATCCTGAGCTACACATATTCCCCTTTATTAAGTAATGTAATTCTTATTTCTAAATATGCAGAAGGTTGCCCGGTTAAGGAGTCTCTGGAAGTCCTGCTGCTTAAGAAATTGTATGTTAAGCAGCCATTTCAGTGATGCGCTAGCTCCATTTCATTAAACACTCGAAAATATTTTGTATTTTCTCTGCATTAAAAAAAACATGTAAATTCAATTGGTATAAGTGAATTGGTACAATTGGTAGCCCTCGACTTACAAGTGCATTTAGTGACCATTCAAAGTTACAATGGCACTGAAAAAAGTGATTTATGGCCATTTGTCTTGCGACTATTGCAACATCCCCATGGTCTTGGCAACCGATTCATAAAAACGATGGTCGCAGTGTCCTGGAGTCCTCTTTTGTGATCTTCTGATAAGCAAAGTCAATGGGGAAACCAGATTCACTTAACATCCATGTTAGTAATTTAACAACAGTGATTCCCTCAACTATGGCAGAAAAATCATAAAACAGGGCAAAATTCATTTAACAAATGTTTCGCTCACCAACAGAAATTTTGGGCTCAATTGTGGTCGTACGTCAAAGAATACTTGTATTTGATAATATAATGAATTACCAACTTTATTGGTGATATTTGATCATCTTTTTGCAAGCCCAAACCCTGTAGAAATGATATGAAAATAAAAGGAGAAACATTTGCATACTGTGCTTCCCTCCAGCTTCCCTCATTGAAAGATAAAACAGCTTTGCTGAAGAGCTAAAAGACTGTTCCAGTAAACAGGTCTCCATATTAGGTTTTGATAGGCAAGATTGAGAAACCTTCTGCACCACAGTTCTCTCTTACATTTTATGTTCTTATAAAAAAAATAACTTTGTCAAGTTTTTGCAACAAATACAGGAATGCTTTTTTTTTTTTTACAATAAATGTTTCTTCAAGAACTGTGTGAAATATTGAAAGCTGACCACCTCATTCATTTCTCAGGGGCTTGCGGCTTGCATAGAAACTGGGAACACATGGCCGAGTTGGAATCAGTTTAGAATGGCAATACACCCTGTGGTGGAAATTAAAGTACAATTCAGTATAGAACTGTACAATATTTGACCATAACATACTAATTAGGACACATTATGCGAAGATCTAAGTCTCTGGAGAAGGCTCTTATTGCTGGCAAAGGAAAACAGAAGAATCAGCAGAAGGTGGATACACTTGGCTTCAGTGGTAATAGAGGCACAGTTGGAAGAGTTGAAGGACCAAGTTAGGGAGATCATTCCGATTGGTTCCAATGCACTATTACTTTACCAAAAGGATCACAAGCTAAATTACTGTAAATTGATCAAAATATGATACATGTAAGAGGTGCTAAAATTACCTCTTTATTATACATCACAACATATGTAACATGGAAATGGCAGAAACCTGAGGAAACATGTTTTACTTGAAATAGGTTTTTTTTTTTACTAAGCTAAGTATATTGCTTACAGAAATATAAAGAATTTTCTTTGACAGGCAAGCACCAAAATTCAAAGAGGATAATTTGAAAGCACTTTAGAATGATTGTCTCCAACTGGATATCTGGCCACCTTTTCATGGTTATTGCTTCACTATAGTTAGACAGCAACAGAATCCCTACCTTCATTTTCATTGTTTCTTAAATTTCTAAGCTTAGCCTTACAAAAAAGTGCTTGTTAAATAATCTTTATTAGTACATTTGCCACAGGTACAGTCTTAAACAAGCCAAGATTACACAGCCCATAACAGAATAGGTAGGTAACCTTACTCCACAAAACTTCAGCATATTTATTGGTAAAACTAGCGGTGCTCTGTAAACCAAGCTTCACAATATTAAAGTCTGCTTTACCATGTACATCAAGTATTTCTTATTGAGCAGTATGTAAACTTAGCAGTTCTTGAATACATTTTGTTTCTGGCAACAGATGCCAAATTGAATATTATACTAGCAAAGTTTTAGAGCACTTTTGTATCAAAGTGAAAAACAAGGAGAAAGGACTCTAGAGTTTATGACTTACATGAGGGCCGTGAAAACTTGTTTCTTGCCCAGATTATAAAAAATGCCTATGAGCCATAAAATACAGATGGGTTGTGAGCGTGGTGAGTCACACCTACACAGATCTGATCTACACATATCCCAACAGAATATCCCTTTTGTTTTTATAGAAAGAAGTTTATTTAATTGACAGTTCAATAGCCTTATTCTATTTACATGTTTTCCATATTCCCAGACCAAATATTTTGTTATCCTTTCTTGCAATAACTAACGTCTTTGGGATATGTTTTGCTCCCCCAGCATGCAATTTTAATTCAAAAATAGTTCAGATGAACTTTCCTTCCTGCAGCTTGAACCAGGGAAGAACGCAGCCAGTTCTTGCCTCCAACTAGTAAAATCATAGCTTCACTTACGGAAGGGAGAGTTTCTAATCGAATGCCATCTGCTAATACTAGAAGCTGAAGTAGCATGTGGAAAAATAGTCATTTCCTCCTTACGGATGACAAAAGGCATTCATTTGCTTTAAAAGAATAAAGCCTCTTTAGGCAAAATGTGTTCCTATGAACACACATTCAAGGAATTTTTCTAAGGCATTTTATGTATGGCTATTACATACTGCTTCATTAAGGCATATACCTATTTAACCATAACATACCACAAAATCCTTCGAAACATTCAGCCATGTTGAATAAGGTGATGCTGAGCTACAAAAATCAGCCGCAAACATCTACTTTTCTTCATAAAAAGCTTCCCGACAACAGCTTTGTGTTGGAAACGAATTCCAATGACAAGTTTTCAACTAAACTTATACATAGGTACTAAGAAACTAACTTTTAAGATCCATTGCCCCAGACTGATTAATTTCAATTGTGATCCTTGCAATGAAAGTCACACTTCTCACCATCTTTTAACAACCCCATAATTCCTTGCAGGATGGAGTCTGGGCAACTGAATGGAGCTAGCAGTTTAATGGCCGGATGCCCTTCCTATCGCCAATGTGGAGTTTTGTTCAGCAGATATGTATTCTCATTGAATTCACAGCCTCCTGATTGTGAGGCGAGAAGTCCACTTCTAGGCCACCGCACCACACAATGAATCAGCTACACTGATGGCATATATACACTTAGGAGACTCTGGAGATTCAGAACCTTTAAACTGTGACAAGCCAAGCTTCAAAATGCATTCCTCTTTAAAAAAAAAAAACCCTATTCAGTCAGTGTGTACAACTTTAATTTCTTAACAGGCACAGGCCTAAATTAACGAATTTGAGCTCAGTTCTTTCAAAATAGAAGATCAATAATTAAGAACTGCATACCTTTTTTTTTTTTTTTTTGCTGTTCATGAGCAGGTGGAACCAGACTGCGTTAACCTGATTGCCAGCCCAGCTTTAAACTTAAGTTTCCAAAATAGAAAAATAGCCTTGGAAGGGTGTAAGGCCTATGAATTCAAGATTGCCCAGCTCACATTAAACACCCAGATGAATAATCTGGCCACTTTGAAGATACATTACTTTTCTGAAACTTTATCAGCTTTGCAGCAAATGGTACTTCAAAATGTTTTCAAATGCTGACCCAATTTAACCATTAAAAGGGTGCTACTGGTGCCACCTGGCTGTGGTTTATTGCAACCAGGATGCAGAAGACACTTGGGGTATCAAAATAAGCCACAGACAATATGGAAAGGGATCTAGTATTCTACAGATCTGGACCAAAATTAATCTCTCATTTGAAACTGGTGCCCTGAAGATGCTAAATACAATAATGACTCCGCTTTTGAATATCAAAAGCAGAACGATATTGAGATGCTGGCCAAGAAAGGATAACGTGGAGAAATTAGCCTGAAAATAAGCACATGCGCATTTGTTGGGTCTGCACAGTCTTTTATGTATATCTGCATAATAGAATGGGGGGAGGGGGGAATTGACTTGAGGTTCAGTATAATGAACTTGCTGCACGTGTAGTTAATATAAATTCACATTCTGATTTTCAGGGAGAGGTAAGATTTCCCATTTCAGATTGGAAGCTATTATTCAGCGAGACATCCACATAAGCTTCCAAACAAAAGCAAAAAGGAGCACAAAGCATATGTGGAAATTTTAAAACTTAAAAAAATGTCCAGCCACATATTCCCAAAGCTAAGAATTCGAACACAGGAGTTGGAAATACAAGACTTTCCACTTACAGACTGAAGATCCAACAATTTGAACTGTTAAGAAAATCACATGGTTTTATTGTATAATGTAGCACTGAAATATGTGAACAACCAAAAAAAGGAAAAAAGAGAAATCAATTATCTGAGTTGGCTTCAGGCTGGCTATTCTTTCATATCCTTTTGTTTCTTTGGGTTATTAGAGAAACTTGTCAGTACAGAAACAGAACCTTTTTGTATTATGGATTCTTCCCAAGGCATGCTGGTAAAACATACCCTTCCTTTGTCAAATGCAGCTAATTCTAACTTCCAAACATCATGCACAAGGAACTCTTCTAGTGACACAACATAAAACTCTTCGGAAGGGTATGTCACAAGTCTTGCTTGCTTGCCATGGTGTGCAGGTTTGTGTATGATATTTGGAATGATCCATGGGTGTGATTAATATTGGTAAGAAGGAGAGAAGGAGAAAACAAAAAGGCAGGCGCCTCAGGGATGTCATGTCAACCATAGTTGTGCAATGCTAGCCTGAACATGTCATTGGTGCAAACCCAAGCATCACTGATGTTCTTTAATAGAAATGTCTGGTGGAATCCGATAACAGGATCTTCATCAGCCTGCAGAGACAAATGAAAAATAAGAATTAAGAGGCTTTTGAGCAATGCACCAAATTCCTGTAACTGGAGACCAATGTTGTCATGCATATACTTCTTGCCTTACTCGCAATTCCTTTTTTTGACAGAAGCTAAAATTTGTCATTTTGTCTCTGTGCAAGAACACAACATGCATTTTTAGTCATGATGCTGCTGAATGTCATGAATAATTAAATACTGCTGGAAACCTAAGCGCAGTTCCTGACTGCGACAATAATTACTCAACTTTCTCCAATTTAGTGTTTTTCAGATGATACGTTTCCAAAATTCTCAGCCAGGAATTTGGAACAATGGCGTTCACTTAGAGACTGTGATGATTTACTTAATGACTGCTGCCAAAATGTTGTCAAATCAGATCTGGTTGAGAAATCTGGTTCCAATTGCAGTCATTAACCTGTAAGTTTAAATCTGGATAATGAACTAAAGTTTCACTTCTAGTTATAAAATATGGAAGACTTCTTCCTGACCCTTCAGTGATGTTTTTATGACTACCTAAGGTGGAATAGTGTCTTCTCATATAATCATCACGAAAATAAACTGCATATACTCTATCAAGCGTAATACTTTTGGTTTTACAGTACAACCAAACAAGCAAAACTTTGATTTATCTGGAACTTGATAACAACGGATTTCACATGAAATGGATCAATTTTCAATCTAGGCCAGTGTTTTTCAACCTCTTTAATGTACAGAATTCCCTAACCAGCAGCATATTGGCCGGGGAATTCTGGGAGTTGAAGTCCACACATCTTAAAATTCTCAAGGTTGAGAAACACTGATCTAGACTATTTGTATAATGATGTCATCACACAAATGACAAATGACGTGCAATTATTTACTCTCTAACATCATAGACATTTTGTACGATGGACATTTCCCCAATTAGTCTGTTAAAACAAGGTTACACTGTAGCTATTATTAATAAGTTGAGGAGCATGAGATTGCAAGACGTAAGGCTGTATTTGCACATTGTACGGAACTCTTATGCTTGTATGCTTTGTAAAACCAGTCAGTGCATATAAACCCATGATGGAGAACCTATGTCATACGTGCTGGAAGTGGCACGCAGAGCCATCTCTCCGGGGACGCCAACTGTTGCCTGTTGCTCTTCTGGCATGCCAGCTGGTCTTTGCACTTGTGGGAGCGCCGGAAACCGGAAGAGTACGCATGTGCGCTGACCAGCTAGTCTTCGTGCACGCATGCACATTAGAAACTGGAAGACCAGATGGATGGCGCGCATGCGTGCACTGGGAAGCTAACATTCCAGTTTCCAGCGCTCACATGCCAGGGAGTTGCTCTTCTGGTTTCTGGTGCAAAAGGTTCGCCACCATTGATATAAACTTATTTGTCACTTAGAAGAATTTGAACTCCCCCAACTGTGACCTAGTCACTTAATTATGGTTAAAGAAATTGTAGCTTAGCACAATACATCAACTAGTTCTGCATGTTAAATATTTGGTAAAGGTAAGAAGGAACCCTGGCTATGGATAGCATGTTGTCTGCAATTGGCAGTCAGGGTAAACCAAACTAAAATGTAATCTGGAACCAGAACTTTTGTGCTGGTTTCAGAAACTTTTCCAACTCCCCCCCGCCTCAAAAAAAAAAAAAAAGCCCGAGACAATCCTTACAATTGTGTGCCTAGTCATGCTACATTCCCCTGTGCGAAACCCCACTTAGAGGTCAGCTTCACAGAGGCATCTTGATATTTCAGAGTTCCCAGCTAACACATCACGTTGGCTGGGAACAGTTGTCCAATGTATTGGGATAGTACCAGTTGAAGGAAAGTCAACATAGAACCATTGTGGAGAGATATAAGAGTTTTTCCTAAAAGTTAGTCCTTCTGCCACCAAAAATTTGCTATTTGTTTTTCTCAGCACCCAAAGTGGAAGAGTGCAGAGCAGTACCTGGCCACGCCGTACATCCCAAGAAGCAAGGGGTCCTTGTGCTTCCTGAGCTTAGTTGTTTTCTTGCAGACATCTCATTACCCAACTAGATAACATCACCTAGCACTGTTGAGGCTAGTTGTAGTAATTGTTCTGACCCAGCTCCCCAAACACAACAAACCCTCTGTGTTTAAATCAATGATCCCTTTATTAGGAGTACCAGCCACATCTATTCATCCCCCCCCCCCCCCCGCCTTTTATCCCCAGGGCTAGGGTAGGGTTTCGCTAGCAGCGGTGGCTCTTTCATCCCAAGGATCAGCTCACAGATTTCCACTGCTCTCCTGTCCTCTGCCTTCTGCGCATCCACGCGTCAGGCACTGGGCGCAGCTGTTCCTCCTCTTCCTCATCAGCCACCTCCAGACCTAGTGGCTGTTGAGGCTCCGGAGGGCTGGCCGATAGCCCAGGCTCCATCTCTGTCTCTCTCTGCCAGTTCCATTCCTTCTTCCCCCTTGGAGCTCTCAGGTTGCTTTCGCTCTCAAGCCTCTTCTTCATCTGATTCAGCTGCTGGAGGGGCCAGTGGCCGACAGGCCACAACGGTAATGAAATGTCCACAAGAAAACAACCAAGCTGAGAGCATCAAGACTCCAACGTTCAATCCCGTATTCCCTTCTATCAATCCCCAGATCTTTCCTACTGTTCCACTTTGAAAATACCAGACCAAATCCATTCTTTAAACCCACCTTTTCTGTGTCACGTTTTGTCTAACCCTTTAATTCTCCTTAACTGAGGGAAAGCAGTCGATACAATTGCATTTGCCCGCTCTTAGTTGTTTTTACATTCCCCCCTTCCTTATCAATCACTGTGGTAATATACCAACTGGAAACTTCTCGCAGTTGAGACGAATGCGTATTTATGAATGGCATGCTCACAATGGATTAAACTGTAAGCTGCCCTCCACCCTGGGACCCTGGTGAAAAAGACAAGTTGCACAGTTGTACCTATAGGCATGAATGCAGACAGTTTTCAGGCATAACAAGGCAAGCATTCATTGTATGCCACTCCAACGTTCCAGAGTTCTAAGCAGCGCTTGTATCCTAAAGGTGTTAAACAAGCAACCGATTGATATATAAACACTACATTAACTATTTGGCAGCTGCTTCTGCAAAGGAAACTTCACCACTGCTCATTTCCAGAGTAAATCAACCTGAAGCAATCCACACTGTCATACTGCAACCCTCCTCGGGTAACACACAAGCAATGTTCATGCTGTTGCAAGATCAGGTGGGGCAGAGGAACAAGCAGAATGCTTCTTACTCAGAAAGGGGACAGCGAAGATCAGAGCATGAGGTGGCCAGAAGGCTTAAACATTGTGGAGTGCTAGCCTGAAGACCTCATTGGTGCACACCCAGGCACCTTGTAAGTTTTTCAACAAAAAGGTCTGATGGAAACCTAGAATTTGGTCATCATCTGCCTGAGCAGGACAGGAGAAAAACATCATGATCTGAAAATATCAAATGCCGGTATCTTGACAAAATTCTGACAGGGATATATTTGTGGCACTTGCATAGAACATGCCAAAATGGGGTTACTAACATCTACAGGGTGTTGTACTCTTACTGAATACTAAGCAGCGGTGCTACAAAAAAAAAAGGCATTGGGGAGCCGGGGAGAAACAACACTAGGCACAACAGAGCTCAGTATGACTCATCATATTTAAAGCTACTTACAAGCTACTCTCTCATGTTAATTATTTATTATTAAGAACAGATGAATTGTGTTATTGTGTTCAGTTCAGTCTTGGAAATGAGTAAAAAAAATGACCAAATGGGAAGTGACTTTGTAAGCCCGTTGCAACCATGTGATTTTCTGCTCAACAATTGCCCTGTTTAGTGATCCCTACTGGTCACTAAGCAAGGACTACTTATAAGGTTTCAAAGGCAGCATTTGAGTAGCACTCGAGAGCAAACTGGGAGCTAATTCTGCTGCCATAGCACTGGTTTAACATAGCCATATCACAGCTGCCCACGTAGTACACAGGCTGCTACATTATCATACCAAGTGAATTGTAGTTCCTTGCAGATTTTGGCAATTCCATTATACGGTTTGCTGGATTCAGTATATGCCCTCCTTACTTCCATGTTGCATTAGGCTTATTTCTAGTGTAATATGCTGTGCCCCATTTTAGCTTATTCAACAGCCTTAGATTCTTGGGAAGCCTCTCAATTCTGCCTGATATATCATGATGGGATAACAGGATTTTTTGGGGGGGCATGACTCTATTAAGAGACTCCCATTTAGGTTCTTTGATCAAAGACTGTCAGAATAGTTTGCAAATAGTTCTGGCTCTGCTTTCCAA